GTTTTGGTCACAACCAACATGTGTTGTTAATGCAAAATGTTAAGGGAAAATGTAGGTACACAAGCATTAATATAGCGTTTTTGTTTCAATTCTTCAGGAGGAGATACAGGCGGAGAGACTTCCTGAGGCTCTTATAATCCAGCTGTTTCTTACAGCTGTATATTTATCGCGTGCACAAGTTTTGCAAACAGGTTACGCACTTGCAACAAGCAGAAAATGGTTTCTATCCGCTCTGGGAACAACATTATGACCACGCTACAGATGCGCGCTCGTCGTACTGTTATTGCGATGTTCCTTTTGCGGAGCATGCAGTATCACTGTTTTTCATCTCAGCATTGCAGTAACCAAACATTTTACTTAGCAGCGGACAGCTCAATAACGCATCTGCGCAAGGAAACACGGAGCTGTGTTGGAGTCAAAATACATGTTTAAAAAGTAAGTCTATTACCCGTAGCTTAAAGTCCTGATGTTATATTGAAACATTGTAAAGTTTGAGAAAATCCAGAATTTTCAAGCACATGACTCAAAATTCAAGCACATTCCAGACCTTGTAAACACCTTATTGAAATTCAAGCCTTTTCCAGAATTCTGGAGGATCTGTACGAACCCTAAACGTATATTCATGAATCAAACTAAAAAAGTTTCACCAGTTTTAATGCAGCGGTGGCCACATGCGGACTCGGCGCATGCAGTGTGCGGTGAGGGATTTTACCATAAAATGACTTAAGCACATTGGTTACTTTGACACCTATAGTCACTGTTGCACAATACAACAGTAATCAGTTAGTACTCAGCCTCTGTTGCTCCACGTGCACAGACCAAAGATAAGCATGATCCTATTGTGGTATTTCAGTCTCATACCAACCCTCAAAATATTTTACCATGAACGATATCATATTGCCCAGCCCTACTACGCAGAATTTTTTCTGTGTTAAGATTATTTCAAAATTCATGTTCAACAGTCAACTATGACTTTGAGAACCAATGAGAATGACATTGGCTGTGTCCAAAACGCTAGGCATCGGGCCGCGTAGGGTGGATATGTAGGCATCGTGACGTCACTTCCTCAAGCGACTGCTATTGCAGGGGTGTCCAAAACCACTTGGCGAGCTCGCCAAGCGTAGGCATCATGACTTCGTCTCCATGGAAACGGCCACTTTTGGAGCAGATATGAAGGATGCATCTGATGTATGCTTCGCTGCCTTCTTTTTGCCAAGTCACGGCCGCGCATGCGCAGAACTCCGTTCGGCATTAACATGTAAACAACAGCTCGGATCTGCTGGAGCTAACATTATGGTAAGCACTTTACTGTGAAGTTATGTCTATAGTAAGTACTGCTATACTTTACTGTTGAGTTATGAACACGACTGTTATGATAAAACACAGACATAAATTAGATCTGCCACAGATGTGTGTATTTAACCTTGTTATCTGCTGTAAATAAACTCAGTCCCGAAAAGCTAATGCTACGAGGCTAGTTCATTCAGATTCGGTTTTTGAACAAGAAAAATCATGTTGTGTTTTATCTTTTAGGGAGAAACAAACCCACTGATTAAATATTAAAGCTACACTGAGGAAATAGTCACGTTTTCATGGAAAATCACTCTGCAGCACAGCAGCTATAGTATGCTAACACATGTTTTCTGTATTCATATAAAATAGATTGTGCATATTGTTTTTAATCCCATACTGAGACTGGGAAAACTGTATATATTAGACATATGAAATTATACAATAGGCCAAGAATAATTATAAAGCCCTTTTCATACAATAGTCTAATAAATAGTAAACACACATTATACAGAGGTTTCGTTTGTCATTAATAAGAAATTTGCAGAGGACAAAGTCCCACTTCCACAAACACAGGTTTAAAGTGGTTAGCCATGCTCATAACTTGATTATTTGTGTATATTTCTATCATATCATTCGTCTGTTTCCCCTGCTGTGAAGCTTGTACCTCTAATATTAAATACTGTAAGGATTTCTGTCTTTTATTTTTAACCAGTTTTTTGCAAAGCCCCAAATAAATAGTATTAATTGAATATGAAGTGTAAAAAGAATCCTAAATGTGGGCTGTGTTTTAATGCATGATGTTTGTGTTCTTCTTTTTCAGAGACTTGTGGTGAAATTAAGGTCATAATTTCTCCAGCTTCACGTCCTGCTTCACCTCCATCACCTCCTGCTTCACCTCCATCACCTCCTGCTTCACCTCCATCACCTCCAGCTTCACCTCCATCACCTCCATCACCTCCATCACCTCCTGCTTCACCTCCATCACCTCCTGCTTCACCTCCATCACCTCCATCACCTCCTGCTTCACTGCTGAAAACATTATGAACTACAACAAACTTGTATATAATATTTTCCTTTAATCACCAGTCATGAATAGTTAGAACAGTGGGCTCTGCATCTCTGAAGACATGTAGCAGAAGGAGCAGCAACAGAAGGAGCAACAGGAGGAGTAACAGCAGCAGCAGAAGGAGCAACAGGAGGAGTAACAGCAGCAGCAGAGGGAGCAACAGGAGGAGTAACAGCAGCAGCAGAGGGAGCAACAGGAGGAGTAACAGCTGCAGCAGAGGGAGCAACAGGAGGAGTAACAGCTGCAGCAGAGGGAGCAACAGCAGCAGGAGCAACAGCAGCAGGTGCAGCAGCAGCAACAGCAGCAGGCAACAGCAGCAGCAGCAACAGCAGCAGGAGCAGCAGCAGCAGCAGCAGCAGCAGCAGCAACAGCAGCAGGAGCAGCAGCAGCAGGAGCAACAGCAGCAGCAGCAACAGCAGCAGCAGCAACAGCAGAGTCCTGGGCGTCTGCCTCTGACACAGGTCTCATCGACAGCACTTCAGAGGAACCTGGAAATAAAGAAAACTAAAATCAAACTTGTTGGTTTTATTATGATTTTGTTGTTTTAAATGTAAAGAGTCATCAAAGTGAGGTATTATTTACACAACTACATATTTGTCTGCAGTACTTATACTTATACTTATAATTGAATACATTAAACTCAAATGTGATTAGTAACGGTCTGTTAGCTTTTCAAGAGATATAAAAGTGAATAAGAGCAGTGTCAAACATCTGTGTTCAACTCCATTTTACAGATGTCTGTGAATGTTTCCATGGATGTGTCAGTTATTATTATAGATCCATGGATGTGTCAGTTATTATTATAGATCCATGGATGTGTTAGTTATTATTATAGATCCATGGATGTGTCAGTTATTATTATAGATAAATGGATGTTTCTCTCTCATCAGCAAACGCACGTTAATACATTTAGGTCTGATAAAATTACTTTTAAGTGATGCACAAACGAGGGCCATAGCAAATATATAATCCATATCTAATAATCATTTATTGCATATATGTGCATTGTTTACATAAAATATAACTTTGTAAAAACTAATGATTACTGCCAATACAATTGTTATAACAGAGAAAGTGTAACAACAAAAGCATCCTCTGTTTTTTCAGAATACGATTGTAAACATCCAGGGGGCTCTCATTACCTGAACCCGTGTTTAGACAGCCTGTTCTGGGCTTCAGCACTGCAGCTAACTGGGCTGTTAGCTTATAGCACCGGAGCTTCAGGCTGGAGGTAAAGTCCGAAAATTTTTGAATTTATCTCCAAACAGACTTCTGATATGACAGTAAAGGGGGATATTTCTCGCCTCAAATGATATTAGAATTAACTTTTATGTCCTAATTAAAGCGTATTTAGAACTTTTTACCGTCCATCATGGCCGCCGTGTCCTTCCGCTCCGCTCTGAGTTGTGTAGTCACGTGACGAAGGCAGAAGGCAGCTGCTGTCCAAATCCACATCACGTCTCGCCTCCTACCTCGCCTGTGGCTACGCGGCCTTCCCTCGATGCCTACATATCCACCCTACGCGGCCCGATGCCTAGCGTTTTGGACACAGCCATTCTCATTCACACTGGTTTATATTATCAGAGTAATTTTGATTCATACATTAATTAACAGACTTAATCAAATTAGAAATAAATTAATTTATCAAAAATAGATAGTTTGGAAATGTCAGCAGTTGAATCCCAGAGGACTCATCTGAACTGTGAGATGAGACAAAGCAGCTCTGTCTCAGCTTCCCGATAATTTATCTGTATAACATACAAAAGGTTGCATTAACATAGCACAGTCAGAGCACCGGAAAACCAAGTGTGGTTTCCTGTGTGATGTGATCCATGACAATTAAGTGCATTCATATTAATTAGAAGTAACCTTATCCATGCCACAGAAAAATAATCAGAGCTTTTCCCTGGAGTGGGGTGATAAGAGGCACACAAGCAGAGGTTTGCATTAGCTCACCCTCCTACACTCTCCAGAGAGCCCACCCATGGGTGCCCTCTTCCAGAATGAAGTCATGTGTGGAGGTAACTGTAACTTCCTAATGAAACTCTGGTACTTTTCCGGCGGGTCAAAGGTTCATCTACTGTACTTGCAGACACCCACAGGGCAGCTCTGGCCTCACTTACAGCCCACTACAGCTTGTGACCTTTCAGGCTTGACTTCCAGGATTTTACATCTCTCCAATCACCAGTGGAACAAATGCTGGGTTACATCAAAATGTGTTAGTTATAATAAAAACCTTGTTTTCTTGAGCCATAATAATTAAGATGTGCAAACATAGTTTTCAACAAAATAAAATATCAAGTTAATAATTGTAAAAAGGTTTTTAAATGCTAAAAAGGGGGTTTTCTTAGGACAGAGGTCTTAAACACGCTGCCTGCAGACCATTTGCGGGGCGCAAATAGCCTCTTAATGTGGCCCAGCTTCACCCAGACCGACCTTGTTCGGCCCCAGTGAAATTGATCTTGAGACCGCAGGCTTTCTTTTTAACTGTATCAAACTGGGTACAAAAATTATAATTCGTCTATATTGATCTTAAACAGCATAATAATAAAAACAGAATTGTCATTGCATGAAATAATGTGTTCTAGTGTTTTAGTGTTCTGCGTAGAACAGTGCAGAGGGAATAGCTTATGTTACTAACCTGACAGGATTACTAGTGAGAGACACTCTAAGGGACTCCAGGCAATTAAGCATCTTTTCCTCAGTGATACCGGAACGCAGCTCGTGGACATATTCTTGGGATGAAAGAGTAGACTCGTGCTTGCTGTTTCTTAGTCCACCCTGCAAACAGAAGACAACGGGGATGTTATTAGGGAGACGGCACGCTGCGACCCCGACATGTCAGAGGCACTTAAAAATAAATAAGCAAATGTGTGAAGAGACATGCAACCCTAAAAAAATGAAACACTGAAATAATGGTTATGAAAAGGAATCAGTTTTACCTGATAGAATACTGGAAGAACATTCACACTTAAATGATATATAACTAATATACCAAAGGTTATTCCTGTCACTACAACCAGGGCCACTTTATGGTATCAATAGAATTTTAGACCCGCCATAAGTGCAAACCATAAACCGTATATTAGGAGTGGACAGACCGAGTGCTGATGTCACCCATAGTGTTTGCAGAAGAAGCCAATTTCAACATAAGCTTGCTGGAGCCAATTTCCTTTTATGGCAAATTGTTCACATGGGGTTAGCTTCGCACCTTAACAAGGGCAGACGTGGTCTTACATGTCTCAAAACTGGATTTTTAAAATACAATTTCACAATATAAACACCAAGAGCGCAAAATCAAGATTTCTGAAGCCCAAAATGGTGAGTGGGCCACAAATCGTTACTTAGCTGAGGAGTCTACTTTCCAATGTAAGTCAATAGAAGTAAAACTGTGTCCATGAGAACTTCATCGGGCTTCATTGAGCTAGTGGGTTAGCATTGTCTATCTATACCAGGGGTATACTAGTTTGAGTGTGGTTTCTGTAGGAGGAAAAACATTATCAACGTTTTTAAATGCTGTAAAAATGTGCATAAGTAATATTCACTTTCAACATTTCTGTCAACGTAGCGCGTCATATCCGGTGACGCGGCCCCATGCCTGGAGGTCGCTGTAGTAAATAAACTGGAGTGTGCGCATGGATCCCAAAGCTAAAAAGAGAAAGAGTCGATGATAAGACTGGACTAAGAACAAGAATAATAATGCATTGGTTTTATATAGCGCTTTTTTGGACACTCAAAGACGCTTTATATGTGTCATTATTCATTCACTCCGAACACGGTGGTGATAAACTACTACTGTATCCACCTCTGCCCGGGGGCACACTGACAGAAGCGAGGCAACCAGTATGTGCCATCGGCCCCTCCGACCACCACCAACCACTCAAACACACCAGACTCATTCTAGGCAATGGGGGCGGCGTCTTGCCTAAGGACAAAACGGCAGTTTGGCACTTTAGCCGCAGCCGCCCCACTGTGGCACCTGGTGTTCCCAGGGGTTAAGTGTCTTGCCAAGGACGCAACGACAGCAGGAGTCAATGGTGAAAGTCGGGCTCGAACCCACGACCCTCTGGCTCAAAGGCCAATGCTCTACCAACTGAGCTATTGTTGGATGAACATTTGCTTTCAGTCCATGAGGAAGGACTGCTTCATGTTTGCGTTGTTATGAGAAGTTTTGTTGTAACACGAGGAACAATGAAGCGCAAAACACCGTTCACGGTGATTACGTAAAGGATTCATTCATCAAAAATTCAGAGCACCTACTTTCTGACTTCAAAAACCTCAGCAAAGACGGTGAAATAAAGGGCCATTAAAAACATGAATTCAGCGCCAGCAAACTTCAGCTTGTGATGTGATCGATATGAACAGACAGTGCTGTGATGCAGGTATGTGAACTCTGAGCCCAAAAGCAGATATATTTACTGTAATTCTACAATCGCATGAAGGCAAAAAAATTTGAAGTTAAAATTAAAGCAGAGTTGTCACGTGGTGCGTCATCAACTCGAGGACACGCTACAGTGAAAGTACACATTTGATTATCATGAATGCTTATTATGTATTTGTAGCCTTTACTTTGTCATTTAGATATTATGCTAATAGAGCTAGTACAGCTTGCAGCCTGTGTTACCTTCATATAAGCCTTATACAAGGCTGTTATTTTTTTTGCGGCTCCAGACAGATGTTGTTTTTAGTTTCTTTGTCAAATATGGCTCTTTGAACCTTTTGAGTTGCCGACCCCTGATCTTTACAGTCTATGGTGCCAACCCCAACCCTAGATGCCACAAAAACCTTAATACTAGGTATTTCATAATGTAGCATGAAATCTTGCACTGCATATATCTAGATATCAATATTTAATACCAAAACTACAGCAACTTAACTAAAACAGATACCTTAGAGAAAACCTGCTTTAAAATGGCGGAAAAAATATTATTAGTATAGCAACTAAAAATGGCATGTTTCCAAATAACAGAAACGGCATTAATTAAATAATACTGCTCATTATAAGATACACACTTAAGTTGAAAGCAAATATAAAAACAGTGATTGTTTCAGTGCAATTAGAAATACAAAAAATCAATGATATCTGATAAGGCGTTTCCACATTGGAGTACTTTTGGGTTAGCTTTGTTGCAATTTATGTGTTTAAAAAAAAAGATCAACCAGATGGCCTTTAATATTACTATTTGCCCTTTGTTACCCTTAATAGCCCCTTGACTATGGTAGGCCCTTGGGTTATCGCCAGCTTGATTCACATACAACTATTGGTTATTGAGAAAATATTCAATGCAGGTTAACAATGATAAACAACAAAAATAAACCATCGAAAAATAAATTTCCTAATCAGTAACCCTTCAGCATTTATTACTAATAAAAAGCCATTACTGGAAAGCAGTCCTGACAAAGCGCCATACACAGACTAATATGTGAGGCAGCAAATAATCACCAGAAATGGATTCTTATGCATAATCTCCATGAGAGCTTCTGGGAAATGCCTACACAATCAGCCTACCTATTTGAAGAAATATATGCGCACATATTGCCACTCATGTAACACAAACACAAGTTACCACAGGATTAGATTCAGCCCAGGTTTGATATCAAACAACTCAAATGACTGAATCTATTACTGTCAAACACAGCATTTGTGTGGTCCACAAATGTACATACATCTTCTGAAGCACAAACCAATTTGCATAATACAATTCTACTGTTTTATTTCCAGCTTCCATGAACTATAGATACACACACCTATGCACTTTTCAAGGTTTGATTGTCAATCTGAAAGGCGTTCTATGCGACAAAACAGGGCCAGTGTGGAGTAGTAAATGCTGCATCAAATATTGAGATTGCTAGTCAAAACTCATCTGTGCTCATCCCCTAGGCTGCTGCTTCCCCACAAAGTGCACTGCGCTAATACACAGTTTGGGAGGTAATAAGCTACCTCATTTGTCTAGAGAAAAGAGAAGGCCTGCTGATCTTCTGCAACGCACAGTCAACATGAAAATCAGGTCCTATATTTTAAAAAGCCAAAAGAACCCCAACAGCTTTAAAACTGATTATTACACGGCTCCTCACAGCAGCAGTGGAACGCTCCATTGATTTGAATGTAATTTCAAAACGTTCTATTGGTCATTATTTCTTTATAACCGGCCTGTTATCTGTTAACGTTTTCATGAAAAAAATACTGTTTCAAAGCGACTACGATCAACCCGGAAGTGCATTCCGGGACAGATAAGGAACATTTGCTGAGGATCGTATTATGGATTTAGGTTGAGTTTATGTATGGGTCACTCACTACTGATGTTCAGAATTCTTTGTTCAGTTTTCATGCAGTTCAAGAGAGTTCTAGTTTGGAAGTTGCTAGCCTAACTGTTACTCGCATAGCCACAGGAAAACCTTTGGTCATTAAATAAGTTATTAAATAAACATTTTGGCATTCTTAAAAGTGGACTGAAGTTTATTTTTTGTGTTCAGTTGGTACAAAGCTGTATAATAAGCGGCTTTGTACCAACAGATGTTCATATATAACCATGTATGAACATTTTCTGATATATTCTTTCCCTCTATTGTGCTAATCTATACAACACCGCACTCATTTATTGTCCTCGTCTGCTGGTGGACAGGGCGAAGCGGTCTGCCTCCGCCCTGAAGGTACTTATTTTACGATAATGACCAACCTACTATACATTATCCCTTACATATTCATTCCTTTCAGTTACTCTTAGCAACCGGAATCTGTCTACTCCCATATTCAGAGGCGATTTAAAAGTTGACCTATTGAAAAAGTATACTATTTAACTATGAGTAGTGTTGTAGCAAAATGGCCAAACACGAATGTTCCATGACTCCTGGCTCCACTCACTGGTTTCAAATCCGACAGTTTGAATCCAACTCTCTTGTCAGCACGAGTGTCATTGCACTCAAATGTGATGATTAGAATGCTACCATTTTTGGCAATCGAAAAAAATCCAGGCCAAAAGGAAAACAATATCAGCCATGCTAATAAAACTGAGGTAATTGCGTAACAATAAACCTGGGTGTCAAATAAATGACTACATCTAATAAGACGCCAGGCCCAAACAACAAGTGAAGTTAGTTAAAAGGAGGAGGAGTTGACATTTTCAACTCCTCTCTGCAGTCCTGCCATGTCCCGGCCTGCTTCAAATCCTCCATCATTGTCCCCGTCCCGAAGAAGCCCAGGATCACAGGACTCAATGACTACAGACCTGTAGCACTTACGTCTGTCGTCATGAAGTCATTTGAACGCCTGGTTCTCTCCCATCTCAAGTCCTTCACCTCCCCCCTCCTGGACCCCCTGCAGTTCGCCTACAGAGCCAACAGATCTGTAGACGACGCCATTAACCTGGCCCTCCACCACATCCTACAGCACCTGGAGTCCCTGGGGACCTACGCAAGGGTCCTGTTTGTGGACTTCAGCTCTGCCTTCAACACGATCCTGCCATCTCTGCTCCAGGACAAGCTCTCCCAGCTCAACGTGCCCGATTCCACCTGCAGGTGGATCACTGACTTCCTGACAGACAGGAAGCAGCGAGTGCGTCTGGGGAAGAATGTCTCGGACTCTCGGATTATAAATACAGGAGCCCCACAGGGCTGTGTTCTTTCTCCCCTGCTCTTCTCCCTGTACACCAACCACTGCACCTCCAGCCACGACTCCGTGAAGCTGATCAAGTTCGCGGACGACATTGGACTCATCTCCAACAAGGATGAGTCCGCCTACAGGAGGGAGGTGGACCGGCTGGTGTCTTGGTGCAGTGGTAATA